AAGCACCACATGCAAAAACAAAACAACAAATACAACGTTATTGACAGTCAAAAAAAACAATGATTTCTAAGCATGCAGTAAAAAATTAGCTAAATATTCTCACGCAAGCAACTGTTGGATGAGATTATAACAAGATTTAGAATTTTGTACGATAGTCAGAAAAAGTACAAAGAGCAGTACGTTCTTGAGTTTTATGCGGAGATTGAAACTTCGAGCGGTTACTGTTTCAGAATTACACACTTAGCTGCGGTTATTCTCCGGTAATTATGTGTAAAACTTTCAAAACAATAAGATTCTCAGACAAACACATACGTTGTTTAGAAACACGAAACTGTCTTACATATTTCTGCGCCACTTGTTTCAAGCAGAGGATGAAAAACAATGTGAGCATAAGTTTTTTACAAACTAACTGAACTTCAATGACAATACTTCTCATCTGCGTTTCCACTCCCAATAATTAGGATGCGGAAACTGTTAAAGGACATAGATGGACAAAACTCCGAGTAATTAAAGTACATAATAGAGCACCTTTTGAACAACACTTTTGCTATAAGTAAACTCAAAAACCTCACCCACTACCATATTCTGCAACGGCTACCTAAGCACATGTACTGTTATATTTGTGCTAACGACTGAGGTTTCGAAAATGAGATATAATTTGAAGATTGGGCTTTAAAAATAATACAAAAAGATTGTGACTCATTCGTAAAGCTAGTAACTGTTGAGAAGGCCTTTAGAACTTTAACCTACCACGTGTAAAATGGCTGACACCTGTCCCATGTTGAAAATCTTTTCAACGACTCCATCCTGTGTCATTTCGTCAGTTCCACGCATTTGAGATTTACCGATCTTACGGTATAAATTAAGCTGCCAAGCATTTTTATCAGTAGGGTCTGTCTAAACGGTACATATCAAAACATTTTTGTCAGAAAAAGTGACGAGTTGCTCCAAAAACTTATTCAAACTGTTATTCTTTACCTTGACAGGTATCTCCAGCAGTGAACGAACAAATTCACGAATTTTGTCTTCATTCTCCTTACTTAAAAACTTTTCTTTTGTTTGTTGAACTACATCTAATTCGCGGCCCCCAAAGACGTTTAATCCGACAGGCAGGAGACGTTTTAGACAGGCAATAACGATGGAATTTGCATGTTTGTCTCGGCGAACCTAAAAAACCAAGTTACAAATATTATTTTTAGATATTCTAATGACACGACCTGCCCCTCACGACGCTTCTTCTTCCTCTCTGCAATAGCAGCTTTCCCAGTCTTCATTTCTGCCGTTCCAAATGACATATTGCCCTCCTCATACTGTGCCATAAAGTTCAGTTCTTCCCTTTTGAAGTGCTGCGACAACGACCATATCTAAAACATGTTTAAAAAATAAATGAACCTCTGGTACTAAGCATCACTCATCAGGAAAATCAACAAAACCTTCTACCTTAAAAATTACAGCAACATTTTCGTAAACTCCATCTGTTTCATAAGAAGGGGTTTTCAACCACTGCGCGCGATGAAGGTCACAATACTTCATTAAAATGGGAAAGAATGCATAAACATCTCGCACAAGTCGGGCATTATCCTAAGAAAGTGCTGATAAAAAATGTTAGGAACCATGCGGCTTAAAAAGCCGTGCAAATTCCATACTTCAGCGACAGTGCCTTCGTCAGCATCATCGGGATGGGTTCGCATGTGCTCCTCGTCTTTGTAAGCTTTTTCAGCAAGATGGCGCAATTTTTCCGCAATTGGAAGCATGTAATCCTTAACTGGATCACACGTAACATATTGGATGATTTGGACTGAGAAGTAATTAACACGACATAACCAAGTTGCACTTTCCACCCCGATGTGATAACGCATTAGCTGAAGGAGAGAACAGAAGATGCGATTCATATGGCTGCTGTTCACCGTTGTAATTGGCTCTCTAAAAAGCGAAAAAAAATATATTTTAAAGCGTCCAACTCCTAGAAGAAACCTACAGCTGCTGAGAAATTCTCGAGAAGTTATTCACACAAAATGACAAAAATTGTAATTGAAGTGTACTGTAAAATCTCAAGAACCCAAAAACAAAAAATTCGACCTTTTTTAAAAGTTCACGAAAAAGTTAGTTAATCCCGCCTTATGCCGCCACACTTACTAATCTTTAACTAACAAAAAACACCAATTTGGATATATTTACAAATCACTATTTAACAAGCTGAAGAATTCGAAACCTAAATCAAGAGTTCCATAAGAAACAAAAGTTACCCCATTCCATTACCACCATCCGGCCCATACTGCCACCAGTAAGTCAGATACGAACATAACAACGGTAGGTCAACATCGTACACGTGGGGTCTATCCCTGTACATAACGCTATTTTGGCTTACTTCCTCGATATCAGATAAAAGTTTTTCCAGTTCTGGTAAGTGAGCAGACAAATTTTGCAACATCTCTGAAAAAAGCAGCGCACATTTTAATTGAAGGGAAAAATGTTTTGAAAAATCAATAAGTCTGTTTCCACCTTGAACTTGGACAGACTGCTCTTGTGATTTTGCAAGAACTGAGTATTTGTTGTTTTTATTGAAATCAGCTTCCAAAAAAGCGACTGGGAAACAACCAGAAAAAGCACTCAAACACTGCCCAAGGCCAGGACGATGTCTGAA